GCCTCCAGAGGGCCAGGAAGGATTGGGGTGGGGGTGGACTCCAGGGGTGGCCTTGGGCGGAAGGGACGGGGCTGGGCCTTCCCCAGCTGGGTCTTCACCCGCCGCCCATGGGCTCTACAATGAGAGTGTTTCACATTCTCTGCTCCCATCGGCCTCTGCCGTAGCCCAGACTCTGCTGCTGCCCCAGTGAGCCAGTCCCTTTCTGTGAAACACCAGGGAGCACCGAGCGAAGGTGTCCAGCCCCCGGCAGGGTGAATGCCATTCAGTGTCACTGAGCTCCTGGGAAAGACTCTCCCTTTAGGCAGGGGCAGTTCTCGGTCTGCAGGGCCGTCTGCCACCCTCTCTGGGGTACAGGCTGCCTTGGTGTGCAGCTTGCCTGCTTCCAGCTTGGTAGTGGCTTGCAAAGAGCAAGTCTCTCCCTGGCGGGATGGGGCTGGCAAGAGCTCCGCTATGGGCTTGTGGCTAAGGCTTCATTCCACAGGTATCGGAGCACTCCACAGCACTCATGGCCAACGCAAGCAGTGGGAAGTGTCTCAGACCAGGACACTGCTTCCCACCACTCATATTGGCTGTGAATCGCCATTCACGGCCAACCAGAGCTGCGATGCTCCAGTACCTCCAGAGGCACAGATAAACATAGCGGCGGCAGCCAGCCAAGGACTAACCCTGCAGCCTGCCTTTTTTTTTTTTTATTGCCCATACCTGTTCTTGCTCTAGGCTGATGGGGACTCAAAGCCCTGTTTCGTGCTCTAGGGGTATGTCTACACTGCCTACTGGCTAATGTAGGCATTTGAACTTGCAAATGAAGCCCGGGATTTAAATATCCCAGGCTTAAGGTGCATGTTCCCGGGCGGGCACCATTTTTAAATCCCCTTAGTTTGAACTGACTGCCCACGGCGACACACAGCAGTCAAAAGTTAATCCAAACTAAATCCTTAGTTCAGATTAACTGTTACTCCTCCTGAAATGAGGTGTAACAGTTAATCCGAACTAAGTCCTTAGTTCAGATTAACTTCTGACTGCCGCGTGTAGCCGCGGGCAGTCAGTTCGAACTAAGGGGATTTAAAAATGGCGCCCGCCCAGGAACATGCAAATGAAGCCCAGGATATTTAAATCCGGGCTTCATTTGCAAGTTCGAATGCCTACATTAGCCACCCTAGTTCGAACTAGCGGGCTAGTGTAGACGTGCCCTCAGAGAATATGAATCTCTAGCATTGAAATTATCAGAGAAACCACAGGCTTTTGTTATCATAGCCTGGCCTGGAGGCTGGTTTTTAGCCAGAAAGTCTGGTCTAAAAGGAGACCTGATGGAGTCTGACTGAACACCTGAACTCTAGTGACTGTTGGTGAGGAAGTCAGGGAGGTACCGAGACATCACCCGCATCAGTCCCTACTTGGCTGGGGCTACCTCCTCTCTATATCCAAGCCCTGGTTCTGCAAGCAAAGCCCACCTGATCCACACAGGGAAGGGGGGAAAGGGGAAAAGCAGTGAGTGATGGAGGCATGGATAAGAGGAGCAAATGGGGGGTGGGGCCTCTGGGCAAGGCAGGGGCGTGTCTTTGGGGGAAGAGGCGGGGCAGGGTTGGGAAGGAGTGGGGGATCCCCACATGGGTGGGGGGTTATGTTGCTGCAAGAGATGAATAAACACATGTTTTGTCATGATGGCAACCCTTGATCCGTTTGTCTCTATGCACAGGTACCAAGGAGTAAAGTCTAGACAGCCGTGAAGATGAGCAACGAAACCACCCCCGAGGCAGTCTCGTCCCCCCCAGTCTCGTCCCCGCCCCCCCACGGGCAGCGTTACTTCGATCGGTTCTCTGAGGATGACCCGGAATATCTGCGCATTCGGAACATGGCAGCTGATCTCCGGCAGGACTTCAACATGATGGAGCAGAAGAAACGAGTCACCATGATCCTACAGAGCCCAGTGCGTGAGAGTGCCTGGCAATGTCCAAATAAGGGGCTGGGAGTCAGGGAATTGCGTCCTCCATTCTGTCTCTGTATCCTAAGACCTAGCCTCTCCACTAGCGGGCTCTCAAGTACAGGGGCCTCTATTTATTTGTTGGGATGCCCAGCTCTAGAAACCAGCTGGAGTCAATAGGAGCTGCAGGTGCTCAGGATTTCTGCAGATCCGGCCACTTAGCCATCAAAATGAGTGGCCAAATTCTTAAAATCTCTCAGCACATCGGGTGCGTGGCTCTTCGGAAATCCAGCCCCTGTCATGGGTGTTGGTCCCGTGCACACGTGGTCCGGAGCGCTGCTAAAATCTGGCCCCAGTTGTGAGTGATGGGCCCTTGGAAACATGGTCCAGAGCTCTGCTGAAATCCGGCCCCTGTCATAGGTGACGGATGCCTTGATGGGCATTTATTCATCTCTTGCAGCAACATAAACCTGGTCTGGAGCTCTGCTAAATCTGTCCCCAGTCCTGTATAAACATGGTCCGGAGCTCTGCTAAACTCTGGTTATAGGTGTATAAAGTTGGACATAGAAAATGGAGATGGGCCCCTCATTATTAAAAGCCCTTTCTGCATGCATGAGGCTTTCTCCTCTTGGAGAGGTCCCCCAGGCATGCTCGATGCTTTGGAGATGGAGCAAAGAGAGAGCCGCTGATGCCCAGTGTCCTCGGTCAGGCGCTGCGCGTTCCCTTGTCCCAGCAGAGCTGTGAGCGTGGGATGCACGAGGCCTGTTTGTCGTGAAGCGCCCTGCTTGGGAGAGGAGCGCTGCCTGCTTTGCCGGGAAGACGCTGGCTCTGCAAAGTTCACAGCGTGGCTGTCAGGAGGAGGGGGCGCTGCCGTGTGAAATGGCTGACGATTCACTGCCTGCCGGGCTGTTTCAGTCTTTCAGAGAGGAGCTGGAGAGCCTTATCCAAGAACAAATGAAGAAAGGGAACAACTCCAACATCTGGGCCCTGCGACAGATCGCGGATTTCATGGCCAGCACCGCTCCCTCCGTCTTCCCCAGCTCTCCCATCAGTATGTTGGAGGATAACCGGTTTCTAGGGTTGGAGGGGGCGGGGGAGAACTGGCTTGTTGCCAGGTTACCAGACAGGCAATGCTGGGGTTTTGTGCCTCTTTTCCACTTCTTTATGATGGACAAAGCAGGCCTTAAAGCAGGGGTGTGCAATAAAACAGTGGTGCTACGCCAGGGTTAGCCCCTGGCTGGCCACTGCCACTTTATTTACCTGTGTCTCCATAGGCACGGCAGCTTGCAGCTCCTATTGGCTGCAGAACACCGTTCCTGGCCAATGGGAGCTGTGGGAAGTGGTGCGAACCAGAACATCGCTTCCCAAGGCAGTCCACCAGGAGCTAACCCTGGCCAACTGTGCCCGGCCCGCTGCTGTGTTAAAGTCTGTACTTTGCTGACTCTGTTGTAAGGGTTTCCCCTGTTTGTTTTTCATCTTAAAATCTCCAAGACTACCAAATCATTCTCTGGTTTTCCTAGATGTCTCCTTGGAAGATCAGAGAACTTGGAACTTTTCTAGCCTTTAACCAAAGAAATGGGAAGCTCTCTCTTGAACAAAAGAGCATCTTTCCCCCAAGTTGTTTTGCAGGAATTTGAGTTGAATAAGTGATAACAACAGAAATGTTACCCCTGACTAAGTGATAACAAAAGATATTTAAATACCCTAAATGTTATTCCCTAAAAGAGTAAACATTAGAGCTGTCTGAAATTTTTGGTTCAATTACTTTTTGATGCAAAATGCCCATTAAAAAAATTCATGTTTTGCAAAACGTAAATATTTTAAAATGTTCTAGATTTCTAACCAACCAAAACATCTCCCTTTCCATCCCAATGTTTCCTCCCCCTTCTCTCCCCACCCTAATTTTTGTAGTGGCAAAGTGTTAAAAAAAATAGAGTAAAGAGACAAAAAAGAATTAAGGGGGAGAAGGGAGAATCCTAAAAATAAAATCAACCCTACTGAGTTGCATTTAAAATGGGCCTAGGAAGAATGTTCCCCTGGTGTTTTTTCTCCAGTGCTTCCCATCCACAGGCTAGGACAGAGGCTGGCCCTTGTGGGATGAGAGTTAAGGTGTGAAGGTTCAGAGAAGAGACCCCAGAGACTGGAGCGTTCTGGGAGGTATCTTGTCTCTCATGTAGGGGAACAGATGAACCAATTCCAGTAGCCCCAAAGCCTCCTTGCTTCCCAAAGCACCTATTAGCCATGATCCCCGCAAACCAGCTGACCGATCTCTGTTTCTCCTCAGGTCTCTCCACGGTGACGCCCATCAACGATCTCCATAGCACCGAGTCACTGGCCCTGGCGAAAGGGGAGCGGCTCATGCGTTGCAAGGTTGGCAGCATCTACCGACTCCTGGACCTGTATGGTTGGGCGCAGCTCAGCAACACCTATGTCACGGTGAGGGCGGCCCCCGGGGTAACATGGGTGTGGGCCGGGTGTATACTGAGGCTAGAATATGACTGCACACTGTCATTCTCCACCTCCATGTGTGGAACTGAGGTGGAAGCATAGAGTTCTCAGTCCTCCAGTTACCAGATAAAATTAACCAATAAATGCGGCGTGAGAACTTACTAAAGTCAAAATCCAGTTATCGAGACTTTTGAATTAGACTTTGTTGAGTGAATGAAGAGTAAAAACAGGTGTAGGGTTTGTTGATTTTAAGCTGATTTACCTTGTGCCATTTGAAATGTGATGTTGACAGCTGGTTGTTATAACGGTTTTTAAAATGTTTAATTTTTGAATCTCAACCTCTATTGTCGTTGAGAAAAGACAGATGTTCTTAGTGATCTAAAGAGGCACATGCTACTGAAAACTGCCCACTTAACCCTGACTCACCTCTTTTCTCTCCCCCCTTTCCTGTGTATTTCTTTTGGCAGCTGCGTGTCAGCAAAGAACAGGATCACTTCTTAATCAGCCCTAAAGGTCTTGCGTGTAGTGAAGTCACCGCTTCTAGCCTGGTGAGTGTGCTAAATAACAGGACCACCTTAGAAGCAGTTGATGGCAAAGAATTATTCTTGAGAGATGCTTTCATAAAAAGACCGAACATCATGAAAAATGTTTACAAATTCCACCCGCCATATTTCTCAAAAATCTGAAGTTTGAAAAATGTTGGCTTGCTCCCAAGTGGTTTGAAAACTGTGGTGCAAAGGGGAGAGAAATAAATGGGGAAATATTCCCCCTTTCACCCTTGCTTGGTTGAAATTCAGGGTTTTACGTTTTTTCATCACCATTTTGAAACTCCAAACATTTTGTCCACCTCCTATTTATAAGGAGGCTTCATCTGCTCATGGAGCCAAACCAATCTCCTGACAGACAGGTTGGCTTAATGTATGCCATCCAGCCAGGCAAAATGCATCGCTGGAGTCAGCTTCCCTTAAGCCGAGCTGCCGCAGCGTCTACACTGCGGGAGGCTGACGGGAGCACACAGTCCCCCCGGCTTCCCTTGCTCCTCGCAGAATGAGAAGCGCAGGACCCTCAGAGTTCGATTTGGGGGTGTACACTAGACCCACTAAATTGGATGCTAGAAGGTTGACCTTTGGAGGGTTGATCTCCGTAGTGTAGCCGTACCCTGGATGTTCACTAACTCCCCCATATGCCGATGCATGTTCTCTTCCCCCACACGAGGCACTGGAAGTTGCAATCCCAGCTAATCTACAATTCTCCAGGACCTGACCTATACCCCATACTTATCTCACTGGCTTAATTCACAGATTCCAAGGCCAGAAGGAACCATTGTGATGGTCTAGTCTGATCTATAGAACGCAGGCCGTAGAACTTCTCCAAAATACTTTCTAGAGCAGATCTTTTGGAAGGGAACCCCATGTTCTTGGAAAGCAGAGCCATGGGGTGACGAGGGAGCAGGCGTTCTTAGGATCTGGAGTGAGCCTGGGGAGTGTGGATCCCTCTCGCCTCCTGGGTAAATCTGTACTTTCACGCCGCCCGCTTTCCCTCTCGCTGCAGATTAAAGTGAACATCCTGGGCGAAGTGGTGGAGCAAGGCAGCACCAGTTTCCCCGTCGACGTGCAAGGATTCAGCCTGCACTCAGCCATCTACGCGGCCAGACCCGATGTCAGATGCATCGTCCACTCACACACGCCTGCCGCTGCCGCGGTAAGCAGCCCCCTCGGCCATGCTTGCTCCCTTCTTCCGTTGGCCAGCTCCGGGCTGCTGAGGTGCCAGGGCTGGGGCGGAGAAGCTGAGAGAGAGGATAATAGTGTTGAAGCTGCTCAGGGTGACCCCGATTTCACAGGCGCTAACCTGAGGTGGCGAAGGTCCCATTAACATTCCCTGTAGGACCACAGGGAGAACCCTGCAGTAATTTATTCATAAGGGCCTTCAGGCTAGCTCCTCACACCCAGAATGCTCTGCTCCTTGTCCCCGTACCCCCAGTAACACCCAGGCCCAGAGGGTTTACTTCTCAGCCTCATTCGCTGCATGGTTTCCCATGGTTTGCATTGCTGCTGTAGAGAACTGCAGAGTTCTCTGAACATGGGGAGAGAGGTCGGGAGAGTGAGGAATCCCAGGCTTAGTTCAGGCTCCCTGTTAATTGTGTAACATTAATAACACGTGACTCGTCTCTGTGGCGCTGAGATCTTTGTGGGGCCTCCCCACTCCAGGAGTCTCTCAAACGCATCACTCCCTCGGCGGCTGCTCTCAGTGGCAGGAGAGGGGCCTCTTGCACGGTGGTACTAAGAAAAACTTCAACAACAACAAATAGTCTCGTGGCACCGTAGAGACTAACAAAACGTGGATGGTGTCCTGAGCCACGAAGGCTCACGACACCATCGTTTTGTTAGTCTCTACGGAGCCACAAGACCATTTGTTGTTGTTGAAGTTTTTCCAGTTACAGACTAACTCGGCTCCCCCCCGACGCAGTGGTACTAAGGTTCATTTCCGGAGGGAAACGAACTAATATCGGCCCAGAGGATGTGCCTGGCAGCCACAGCATTTGTGGATCCTGGGACAAAACTCAAAGGAAGTGACTTTGCTAGACCAAAAGTCCCGCACGAGGTCATCCTACGACCTAGCGTCATTCTTAACGGGCAGTTAGAGAGCTGTGCTCGGTGAGGCAGAGTCTCGAATGGGATTCATTCAACCTGCTCTTCAAAACCGTACCCAGGAATTGATAATACCTCCCCCGTCCCCTGAGCGCACACATGGTCTTTGCTTGTGCGTAGATGATTGAAACCCTTCAAAGGGCTAGGACTCTGGAGTTGGGCGTTCTGGTGCCACCTTGGTCCCAGACGACGTGACCTTGGGCAAGTTGTGTAATGGTTCGGTGCCTCAGTTTCCCCCCTGTTCTGTGGGGATACTACTTGACGCACAGGGGTGCTGTGAGACTACCTGCCCCTGCATGCAACTGCATGGGGAGGGGGGTTACACAGAACGGGGCTGTGTCTGCCGCACTGAGACGAAGCATAGCCCTCCTAAGGGGCTCCATGTGCCCCTCACTTTAGCCCTTCTCCGATACATTCGTGTTCCGCTAGTTCATAAATAAACAGTCTTCCCTCCGAACGTCATTTGACCGACCTTCAGTCCGTTGCTTAATGCTGCTAAAGTGACGCAAGAAGCTGCGGGTGGGTGCGATGCATGAAAGTGAGTGAATGGTGCCACCCCTGGGAGAAAAAAGGCCAAAATACGTGACTGCTACACAACTGCAGCGTTCCCAGGTTCCCTTTATTGGTGCTGATGGCAGAGGCTCATTCCTCACTGGGGATGTTAGACATTGCTTAATCGAATAATCGTGTAATTGCACAAAATCTTATTGGTTACATGATTATTCAATAATCTCTGGGGGCAGGGCCGCCAGCCAGGGCACTCCTGGCCCCACTTCCAGGGAGCCCCCGCCATCCTGCACTGCTGCCTCTGTATCTGAGGCAGCAGCACGGAGCGGTAGCAGCCCCTGTCCACAGGGGTCGGAGCTCCTCAGAGAGAGGGGCTACGCTGGCATCCCGCCTGCCCCCCTCCCACGCTGCTCCCTCTGATGCAGAGGCAGCAGTGCAGGGGAAGCGGCTCTGCAAAGCCGGTGTTTATGGGGAGCACTGGCTCCCGCCTCCCCCCCACCTCTGTAGGAGGCAGCAAGGAAGGGGGAAGGCAGTTCTGTGGAGCTGACACACATGAAGAGCTGGCTTAAAAGCCAGTTCCCGGGGTGTATTGGCTCCCTCCAGCCCCCCGCCCCTCCGCACTGCTGCCTCTGGGCTAACCATGTACATGACTATAGCTAACAGCCCTACTCCACAGACCTGCTAAACCTCCCTTGCTTCCTGTGCCCATGAATCGATCAGTTGATGCAACCGCTGACCTGAGGGGCCGCTCCTGAGAAATGCTGGTCACCCTCAGCTCCTGTCGATTGCACCAAGAGAGCAGGAGAAGGATGCTCAGGATGCAGGATCAGGGCGGTGAAAGTGCAACAGCCGGGCCTTCCTGTGGCCACAGGGTGCGGGTGTGAAGGCTGAGCAGAGACTCGCGAGAGCTGCGTTAGTGTAAACTCGAGGGAACCAAAATGCTGATCTTCCCCTTTGCCTCCTGTGTTCTCGCTGCGCGCCAGGTGTCTGCCATGAAATGCGGCATCCTCCCTGTCTCCCACGATGCACTGCTGCTGGGCAGCATGGTGTACTTCGATTTCAACGGCGAGATGGAGGACGAGGCGGACAGGATCGAGTTACAGAAGTGCCTTGGACCAACCTGCAAGGTGAGAGGAAGAGAGGCGCTCCCTGCACGGAAAGACGTTGCGTCCGATGAGCCGGCTCACGCCGCTCGGCCGGTGATGTTTTCACTGGAGTTGGGCTGAAGAGGTGGCACTCGGATCTGGGTCTAGACCTGAGTTCCCTGCAGGCTGCACGGAAACGCAGCTGCCTAGTTAGCGCTGTGCGGGTATTCAAAGCATCCACGTTGCTCCTCCCCCAACCTAGCCTCCAGGCACCTCTCCCCCCTGCGAAGGAAACTGTGGCCTGGCCCCAGCCCTCTCCTGCTGCTGCCCCTGGACCCCTGCTGTGGCCTGTCCCTCCCGAATCGACCCTGCGAGGCCCAGGTGGCCTGTTCTAGGACCTCTCTCCCCTCGCTGCATTCAGACCTGCCTGGCCCTGGAACCCCCTGGCTCTGAAGCCCCCCTACCACGGCCTGGTCCCAAGCCCCCACCCCACCCCTCTGCACCTCACCCTCTGCCCAGCCACACTCCAAAGCCCATACCTCCCAGCCAGAGCTCTTGCACCCCAACCCCCTGAGCTCCTAGCCCTGGCCCCTCCCCAGAGCCTGCACCCCACCTCACCCCAACCCTCTGCCCCGAGCCTGAGTCCGCTCCACACTCAGAACCCCCCGGCCCCACCCTCGCCACATGAATTGCACCATATTGGTGCACGTAACAAAATTAATTCCGCTCAGGAGTGGGAAAAATTAGAGGGAACCCGGGTCGAGACTAGGCCTGGGCTTGTCCTGACAGTCTGGCCCCTTCTGTGGTTAAAGCACCAGACTGAGAGATCTGGGTCCTAACCTGGCTGAGCTATTGTCCTGCTGTGTGAGTTTGGGCCACCCAATCACTTTGTGCCTCAGTTTCCTCATCCAGGGACTGCAGGGAGTCCTGACATACCTGGGCTTTGATTCCTAAAGCTTTTCTGGGGCCAGACACAGCAAGAGGAGAGCCACCAACAGTAGATTGGAAGGAGATGGCCAGTGAACCACACAAAGTGTCAGAACGACTCACCGTCTGGGATGTGACAAAGGCGTAACATTGCTGTCACTTACACACTGTGAGCTGAAAGAGCCTGGAAGTCATTCCCGAGACCTTCAGGTGCTGGGCAACCCCCCAAACTTCTTGCTGGCCTGTGTCTCTGAGCCTCTTTTTGCCAGGGATTCACTGGAGATGGCTGCATCAGCTTGTTTTTCCTTCCCCCTGCAGATCCTGGTGCTGCGAAATCACGGTGTGGTCACGCTAGGCGACACAGTGGAGGAAGCTTTTTATAAAACCTTTCACTTGCAGGCTGCTTGTGAGATCCAGGTGAGTGACTCCTCTGGGCAGCTGGTTGGAATGCACAGTCAACCTGTGGAACTCCTCGCCAGAGGATGTGGTGAAGGCCAGGACTCTAACAGGGTTCAAAAAAGAGCTAGAGAGATTCATGGAGGTTAGGTCCATCAATGGCTACTAGCCAGGATGGGTAGGAATGGTGTCCCTGGCCTCTGTTTGTCTGTGAGTGGGTGACAGGACAGGGATCACGTGAGGATTACCTGTTCTGTTCCCTCCCTCTGGGGATCTGGCATTGGCCACTGTTGGCCAACAGGTCACTGGGCTGGACTTTGTGTGGTTCACCCAGTCTGGCCGTTCTTCTGTTCCACCCTCGTCCGTGTGTTCCCCAAGTTGCTCGCTGTGACAGTGCTTTGCTACACGGCTCATCTGTCTAGTTTAGATACAAACTCCAGCTAGCCAGCCCCCCGAGGACTTATGCCCCCTGTCACCGCAGAGTCGCAGTGGCTCCCATAAGATAAAGATGAAACTGCCTGCTCCCTGTCTGTTCCCCACCCGTACAGACTGACAGGCAGACGCGCCGGGCTGATTTCCTAAGCCACGTCTGTGTCCCGAATGACTAATATGGGGAGAGACCAGGGTCATTGCAAGCCAGACACGCTGCATCCTCTGTTTGCAACTTACCACTGCGAGAAGAACTCCAGCAGCCGTCCCAAGTACTAGACTGTGCAGTAGCATCACTGCGGCGTTTCCAGCCACAGCCATGGACTTACTCTAGTGCTTGGCGTGCGTAGTTGGCTGCATTGTGTTCACCCGTGGGAGCTGTCCCCCAAGGAGCAGATAACTAGGGCTTGCACTGGAGTTGGGTGGAGACAGAGGACCGTCTGGCTAGATTGCACTGATCATGTATCCCCCTCTACTGGGCGATCCCTGGAACTGGCGTCGGGACGGAAACCAACTTCTCTTTTTTCCAGCTTTATTTGCTGGCGAGGTTTTCGTACCCTCCTCCCTTAGTCGTGTGTTTCAGCAGCTGAACTTGAATTGGACCTTTGCCTTCTCCTCCACTACTGACTGGGATTTGCAGGGCTTGCCGTTGGCCTAGATGAGTTCCCACTGAAGTCTCTGGGAGTTTTACCATGGATGTCAGTGAGAGCAGAGATTAGCAAAGGCTGGTTTGGAAACTTCTCCCTCTAAGTCTTTACAGCTCAGCCGAAGCTCCCATGGGGCGAGGTGCTGCATCACTTGTGGCAATTATTCCTTGTTGATAGGGTGCCATAAAAGTGAGTAGCACTTTAATGCTGAATAAAAGACAGTGGCCCCGATTTGCGTACACCAGTGTCCATCAGGAATAACTCCACCGAAGTCAGTGGCGTTGCTCCCCTGTCAACATGATCAGGTTCCAATCGGTCCTGACAAGCTCACAGTCGAAGTGAGGGTGTAACGTGGCAAAGGACGGGGTTTCAGGCACAGCACGTGTTCCCTGGGCTCGGGGAGCCTCACCGTCAGTCCACCACCCTGGTGCACTTGCTGTGAGACTCACAGTAAGGATGTCGCAAGTGTCAGCCAGAGCCATATCCAGAAAGAGTCTTTGGCTGCAAACACCGCGCTGTGTTGGAGCTGCAGCAGTGGCAGTTACAATTATTACTACAGGTTGAACCTCTCTCTAGTCTGGCACTCTCTAGTCCAGCAGCACCTGTGGTCCGGCATGATTTCAGTTAGCCAGACCGTGCCCCTTTAAGGGCTCCGGGGCCGGGAGGGGGGCAGAAGCGTTTCCCTGGCTTGGCCCAGAGTGGCCACCAGGGAAAGCTGGGGAGGGCTAGCCTCCCACTAGTTTGAATTAAGTGGCTACACAGCCCTTAATTCGAACTACAAGCAGTCCCCGGGTTACGTACAAGATAGGGACTGTAGGTTTGTTCTTAAGTTGAATCTGTGTGTAAGTCGGAACTGGCGTCCAGATTCAGCTGCTGCTGAAACTGATGCCAGTTCTGACTTACATACAGAATCAACTTAAGAACCCCAGGCGTCCCCAAGTCAGCTGCTGCTGAAACTGATCAGCAGCTGATTCCAGGAAGCCCGGGGCAGAGCAACTCTGTCTCGGGCTTCCTGTAGTCAGCACTGGTCAGTTTCAGCAGAAGCTGACTTGGGGACGCCTGGGGCAGAGTAGCTGGGGTGCTGCTGGGTTGCTCCAGTAGCGCCACTCCTCGGTGCTACTGGAGCAACCCAGCAGCACCCAAGCTGCTCTGCCCCAGGCGTCCTGATTCAGCCGCTGCTGAAACTGACCA